AACAGTTTGAAAGATGTAGTTAACTTTATAAAAAGTAACTTATGACTTTTAAGTATCGCGTTAGAGTTTGTAAAACTAATAAAATTACTACTTGTTATACCTGTGTCAACTTGTACTTGCGAGCGGTCGTTTTCTGCGTTAAACCGATTCAAAAATTACTTACGTTCGACAATGCTTCAAAATAGGTTAAATAGCGTTACCATAATGAATTTGTATAAAGAAGAAGCTGAATAGATAGATTTAGAAGAACTAGTAAATTAATTCATATGCAAAAATAACATTCGACGAGCTACATTTTCATTGAAAAATAAAATAAAAATAAATAATTGAAAAGAAAAATAAAATAAGTGTATGTATATTTTTTATATAAATTAAATGACTAATTCTTTTAAAATTATCGATTCACTCTTCTTTGAACCACACCACACATGTAAAAAAGATACTTCGCCGGCCCTGGACGCGCGCGAAGTTAAGCCGTCATGATACCGTCCAAGTGAGAAAGTCCCGACGTTGAAAACGTTATTCGATATCATCTGGAAATAGCGAAGCACTTCTGAAAATAGGATTACCGTATTCCTCTATATATTTTGTATCGAGTGTGTAATCGATACATTAGCGGATCCTACGGTATTAACCGCACACAGCCACCCTCTCTTAATACCCATTAAATATCAGCTTTACATGTGGCAGCCGCGCGCGCAAGGGATATATGTACGTGCGCGAAACTAAATTATCGAAACGCGTGCTTGCAAGACACTTGAACTCTCGCGTACGCGGATTATATACGTTGCGGATAATCGACTGCGCGCGGGAACGGTAATGGACAGGGGGCTGGATGCTTTGTGTGCTTTTAACGTAATGCGCCGTAAATGTAATGTATCGAGTGATCTGACACGTAATCCGCACGGGGCGAGCCGCGCGCGCAGGCAGGTATTCTTGTATTTTGTCTCGCTCCGAAATAATATTTACATTCAGTAAAACTGACCGACAACGAGACTCTCTTTGACGACAACGCGATTACTTTTATTTGTGCGATTCACTTCGCAGTTGGTTTTATATATTTCAAAGGGGAATAATATACAAACACAATTTTCTAGTGTGTATGTGTGTGTGTGTGTGTGTGTGTAAGCCGTTTTGTTAAAGCGCGATGTGTTTCATTAATTTTCTACAAGAAGTTTGAGAGAAAGAGAAAGGGAGAGAGAGAGAGAGAGAGAGAAAGAGAGAGAGAATTGTGTTCGTAACATTTGGCCGGTGACTGTTTCCATTGTTCGCGAACTTGGTGGAAGAACGGGACATTTCCAACGAACATTTTCACGTGACAAATGATATGCTGGAATTTAACGGGTTAATTTGTAGTATCTAAGTTTCACATCGGCGGGAGAGAGGGAGTTGATGAGCCTTCCCGCAAATTATAACGTTTACTACGTGACACGGAATAGTTAGTGTCGGAGTATCATTTCGCCGCGGAGTATCATTTCTCGGAGAGTATTTCGAAAACACGCGAAAGTGCATTTCTGCGCCACCGGGATGAGTACCGCAGGGAGGACAAGCAACCACACAGTTCTGCTTCCGAACCGCTCGAAGAACGTAAGCTCTTTTCACACGAGATCTTCAGTGTGCGGATGCTTCGGTTATTCAGTTTGCTAACTCGAAACACACTGCGCGCGCGCATTCTCGGCGCGGCTTTAGGTTCTCATTCAATTTTTGGTTGAAATTCATTCGCAACAGACATTTCATTAATTAAGTGACACTTTTTGTGTGTGAGCCGCGACGCGCACGCTCGGACTGTGGAAATTTTTATTGTGTCAATTTTCGCTCTGTCGCGTTAAAAATGCTGTTCTAATATTTAATTAACTCGGATGTTATTCTGACGAGAGGCGAGGGTTTCGCACGAAAAGAGTTTTATCTGTTAATCCAACGGATGAGATTCCTCCGGAGAGTCATAGCGCGAGTAGTTTTTCCACGGAGAGAAGAGAGAGTGCAGGGGGAGAGTTATGTGAAGGGAACGCGCAGTAAATTGAGGGATCATGTAACAAAGTCCATTTCCTCGGGAAAAGTGCTCTCGTCACGTTTGCCGAAAGAAATGTTCGATCGCGTCGCGTTTATAAAATCTCGTGTCTCCTCTCTTTCCTCCCCCCCAAAAAAGATATATATCGAGTTTTTCCAAGTGCGCGCTTTAGAAAAGTGACGCTTTAAAACGGAGTTAAAACACGTTCTTTGCAACAACTTTGTAAAATGATGCAATAATGTCGAAGATAAAAAAAAAAAAAAAAAAAAACGTGAATTGCAATATAAAAAAGTAATTACACGAAAGACTTTCTCTCTTGCAAGTGAAGAAATAGAGAAGAGAACGAGGTCACAGCGCTTAGCGGAGACCAATCACTCAATTATAAGAATTTTAATATTTTACTTTTTATCTAATGTTTCACTTCATATAAAATGTATCTAAATTATTGCAATATTATGCATGTTAAGATTAAACTACAAAATAGATACATTCAATGTTAAAAAAATTTAACACGAAGATATTAATAAATTTTTTCAAATGAGCGTTATTACCTCGTTTTCCTCTAGTTCGTCGATATTCTAAGACTTCAATAAGTTTTTTTTGCACTATGTTATTATTATTATTATCCGACATGAATAGCGTGTAATGTGCGTATGTCTTTAAGTGCGTGTGACATTAAATAGAGGATACAAACCTATCACTGTTAAATGTACTCTGTAGTTTCTGGTCGGACTTATGGCAAAGTCCACTCGACACCTGTACTCTCCCTCGTCGTTGCTTTCCACACGCTTAACCTCTAAAGTTGCCGGTTCGGTTGCTGTTCTGAAGCGAGCTCGATCGTTGAAATATCCCTTGTCGTGCCAGTGCGACGCTTTCTCCGGCTTGCGCAGGTCATAACTGCAACAGAACAAAAACGTTTCGTTCTTGTATTATTCTTTTCGTTTTGCAAAACTACGCTAATTAATTTTGGATTTTGTGTTTCAAATCGAAATGTAATAAAATTCGATTGTTTGCGACGTTCAGAAATTTTCGCCGAGAAAGAAGTGGAAAAATTTATTGAGGAACTTCTACAATCAAGAGACAATGATGTGTAAAGTACGATCTCGTGTATAAGCTCAAAAATTACTTCACGAATAACATATACTCGACCGTGACTGCGCCATGTGTCGTTTTTTTCGCTCCGTGTGGAGAGGCAGCGGATAATAAAAAACAAAAAACAAAAAAAAAAAAAAAACAAAGCGAAACGAATGCAAAACTTTAGAACTAATATCGCGACAGAACGAGAAAATTTCGTTAACTCCCCGCGCTCTTTAATGCGCCGAACGTTTCGCGCATATTTGATGCGGGCGCGAGAAAGTTGGATATTATAAAACATACGTATGATATAGTGGAGAATATAATTTCGCTAATTAATTTTAATACACTATGCCGCGCTCGGCTGCTGCGGAGGATAAATTTCTCACTTAAAACTAACTGTGCGTACTTTTTATCTAAGCACGAAAAACAGTGAGCGCACATTTAATTAGCTTTTTATATATTATCCCGCGTTTTAGAAATGAGATTACATTTCTGACTTACTTTTAGTGCGCGATACTATAGGCTTATTTCAAAACACTTTTTTTCTCATACAAATTTTATTTAAAAAAAAATAAAAATAAAATAAAAAAATACATATACCACAAACGATATGTGCAGAAAACGACTCAAGAACAATTTAAATAGAAACAGTTTTTAAACAGGATTTTATCATTTTCCGACGGAGTTGCTGCGTAAAATTGCAACTTGACAATGTCTCTCATAAAACGTTCCTAATTTTACATTTTCCCATTCTCTCTCCGAAGACAAATGTCCGCTAAACAGAGGTGATTCTACGTTTCGAACGCGTTTTTTTTTTTTTTTTTATCGCGCCGTCGAGCGCCGCGCAAAAAATTCACAAATCTCGCTGTGTACGCCCGAGGTGTTAATTAAGCATGTATCGGTTGTCAGCTGGTTGTTCTCCACACTCGGATCCGATCGAAGGAAGCAAACGAAGCGTTGCTGCCGTCCAGACGCTTCTCTCACCGCAGATCGCCCCGCAGCGCGATCCTCCCTCGCATACCTCTTCCCCCTCAATCCCGGGACATCGGGAGAGCATCGAATTTGCGGAAATACCACGAGTGCCTCGCCCGGTACCAGATTCGGCCCGGCCGCAGGGTTGGAACCGGTCGAAGGGGGATACGAGGGAGTCGACCAAAGGGATGGTCGCGAAGGGCTGAGCGCAACGGTTGAGAACGTTCGCAGAGAAGGGTGGCGGCGGCGGCGGCTGGTGTACATTCCTCCGGTGTATTACGAGCCGCGCCAGCTGGCAAAGCGTGTACTCGCCACGCGATCGCATGCTCTCCCATATGCCGGACCGAACAACAACGACTCGCCACCATCGTCGTTGGTACTTCCGTGGACTACCCCGGCGCATTCTCCCGCTAGTTGTGCATCTAAACTGCATACACACACATACACGAACACGCACGCTCGTGTGTAACACGTTTACACACACGTTCGAGCAAAGAGGAGGCGGATGGAAGTTTAACAGAAACGGAGAAGTTGGCATTGGCGCGCGCGCGCGCGCGCGAGTCGACGATAAAGCGAGAAACTGCCCCTATTCTCGTACACGGTCTCTCGCGGCAAGATCGAGCTTCCAAACAACTGGTTGCTGAATGGGTCGGCTGAAACGATTACTTGTACAGCCCGCCGTCTCTCTCCGCTGCAAATTGCAGAGCGCGTATAGTATACGTCGTTCGAGAGTTACAGGTCCCGTGAGCGTCAAGCGTATAACGTATACATATATTACCCCCCTTGAATTTGTCAAGTCTGTGCTTGTGCCGCTTGTAACGAAAGAGATACTTATTCCCCGAGCTTGAACTCGCGAGAAATCGAAACGAGTTTTAAGAAAACTTAAATCGAAACAACAACAACAACATTTTTCGATAAAATAAATAATTTATTTTTGAAATAGACAAAAAAATATTCTCGGCGTCCCAAATCAAAACGGACTCGGATTGCGGAAAGAACTCAAGGACGCGATAATTAAATTCGGTTAAATCAATCGGAGCGTGTTCATTCACGCTATAAATCGTAGTTTAGCGTTTCGGGATAAACGCTTGATATCGATATTGCAACATTGCGATGTCGTGTTAACGGGCGTTGCGCGCGATACACAAGCAAACGTACCTGTATGCCAGATTAGTGGTCGGGCGTCCATATCGGAACGTGGTCATGCCTGTCACAAGCCAGGCGGGGGGCGACCAATTACAGCGCAACATCTCTCTGCGCTCGGATCGGAATGCTCGATGTGTAACGTTTCCGGTTTGAGATGTTCGCGTGTGTTTCGACGCGATTGCGCGCGAAAGTTTTCGGAGAATCCAATCTCGCGCACAAACGAAATATATCGCGCAACGACTTAGCGGTGAAAAAAAAAAAGAACAAAATAAAAGAAGAGAGAGGTAAAACGAATCCGAACTTTGCGCTGCGCGAAAAGTCCTCGCCCGTTATTCCGCATAAAACCCCGCGGGCATGAATATATATTCATTCGAGAAGAAAATAATAATAATAATAAATCACCCGTATCCCGATCGTGCTTATAAACGAGATCCCGTTGTACGTTCGCCTTACGGATTGTCGAGTAGATGTTGTGCGCTCTCTCTCTCTCTCTCTCTCTCTCTCTCTCTCTCTTTCTCGGTATATATCTCGGAATACGAAATCAGTATATTAATGAGGGAACGCGATAGCTTGCAGTGCCGCATGGCGTGCGATTATATAAGATACGACGCTAAGAAAACAAGTAGTGTGTATTACAACACCGAGACAAACGCAAAAGGACACGTCACGCACGATCGTTTATCCATGTAATAATTCACGGTAGATTTATACTTATTACCCTGCATCCCATTTTTTTTTTTTGTCGACTTTTCTCGGTTCTTGACATTTATTAAACTTCTCTTCCGACACACACACACACACGAAGTCCCGTTAACTTTTTTTTGTAAAATCATATGTAATGCGAAAACACACACACACACACACACTTTGAGATTTACTTACGAAATTGCACAGGGATAAAAAAATAAAAGAATCAAAATCTGTGCCTGAGTGTTTTCACTCCCGCGGTGTTCGCGGCGGTGGTTTTTATTTTTTGTTGTTTTTTTTTATTTTTTTTAAATCGAAGTTCGCGCTTTTTCTTTGAAAATCCGGGCATTCGTTAGAGAGCTAAGTTGATTTTCAAGATATATCCCAAAGTTTTGGACGCGCGCGCCATCGGGATTTTAGATGAAGTCCCAAGGCATCGCCCTGGTAGCGCGTTACAAAAATGCGCGACTATTTAGTGTCTATAAATTTGCTATAGCGCGGCCAAAAGTTTTCCGCTCGGGGTCGGAAAGTGGAGTCTGTTTGCGCGCGGCATTTCCGAAACTACCCTGAAAGTTTTAAGCTAACGTAAGGAAGGAGAGTAGTTTCGCAATAGGTACGCGGGGCACCAGGATTCGGAACTGTGTATAGCTGCTACGACGCGACGCGCGCGCGCGCGCGCTTCTCGTCGTAAATTCCTACAAATGCTGTAACAGGTCGGCGCGCAACGGACGACGACCGACGCTCGTTTGTCGTTATTACGCGGCGCTGTGTACGTCGTTATGAATTTTACGGTTCTACGCTATAAGTAATGCGGGAATTTATAATCTCCGCTCAGTTTCTCTCACTTCCTCCCTCTCTCCGAATGATGGCGCCCCCGGACACCTTTCGCGAAATTCGCGTCAGCCAACTCGCGCGATACTTGTACGAATGAAATTTTTCGCATTACAACTACGCGAGGGAAAACACGCGTAATTCGGCGTTAATGAGACGGCCGCGTCGTCGTCTCTTCATCTCGCCGAGCTTACTGTTGTGTTATGAAGCGAAGCGCAACACGGGGCACATATCAACACACGCCTCTTAATTTCCACAGATACCTTGAAATTCGGCATTAACACAAGTACGATGTGAGAATAGTAAAAAAAAAAAAAAAACATTAATTGATATTCTTTTTATTTAAAATGTGTGGATTCGAACTCGGTACCTTCCCGCTCGCAGACCCGGCAGGGCCCCACTCAGGCCGCGAGACCCGGTAATCTCTTCAAGTCCGGTTTTTATCGACTGTGAAAAAATCGAACTGAATCGGGCCTCCGATCAGCTTGAATTTGTTGTGGGAGATGTGGAAGAGGAATGTAAAAAAAAAAAAAAAAAAAAAAAATGGTAACCCTGAGGGAAATCAATAAAAATTCCTTTATCCGTTTTTTAAAATTCTTTTTGTTCAATAAAAAACAACAAGAGCAAGTGATATGTCGAAAATGTAGCCACGCGGTTATTTAATTTGCTGTTGAAAGCTGTTGTGCTGTGCGCGATGGAAGAAAGCTACGAGAGATCGGAAGGATACTTCTTACGTACAAAGCGTTATAATGCGTCTTTGTTTCGAAATCACAATCTCTTTCTCTCTCTCTCTCTCTCTCTCTCTCTCTTGCTCTCTCTCTTCTCACGCAAATTGCGTCATTACTCTGTGATTCCGCAGCGTGCGCATCCCGGATTCAGAAGGGACAGTTCCGTCGAATCCGCTTGATTCTATCCGGGGATATCCGGAGATATTAAACGGAAATCGCCGACAGATGCGTCCGGTCGGTTAGGTTGCAGACTCTCGCGGATTAATAACCGAAGACCCCGAGAGTTAATTAGTGCTCCGGCTTAATACGAAATACCACGATACGTGTCGCGATAACTCGCGGTCGACCCACGTTTGCAGTCGGTCGGAAGTTACTCTCTCTCTCTCTCTCTCTCTCTCTCTCTCTCTCTTCGCATACGCAGAGTTTGCAGTGTACGTACGCGCGCGATTCCGCGCG